CTTTCCCCTGAGGTTCTAGTATTCTTGAACATACTGAGGGTGTAATGCTGTAATGTAAATTCATTCAGAAGTCTTTCACTGTGCAATGCGAGACAGGAGTAAAAAAACAGCACGGATAAACGCTGGGGTCAGAGTCTACAGTAAGACTTCCTATTGCTTGCCTGGGGGAGATAGAGAGATTGACAAAGTGACTCTCACTTATCATATGCTGAGCTTCAACATCTTCCAGTCCCAAATGGGATAAATTAACAAATACAGGGATTTTTAATACAGTTTGCTAGCTCAGTTCGCTGCTAGCCTCTCTCATCTTCTTTCATGTGTGTGCGGTGAAGAAGAAGAGATCTTGAGTCTATGATTTCCCTGCAGCATCATATACTGCACACACTATATCCATAATACATGTAATTGATTGATGCTATCATGTTGTTATGAAGATATGCTTGCGTTGGCATCAGTCAAGAAAACATATATAGGTCTATATTACTGGCATGGTACTGTATATAGTCTGCTGGCTACTGTGGGCATGTCCCAAATGGCACTGTATTCCCTATATAGTGCACTAGTTTTGACAACTGTTTAGGGAATAGGGTGCCATTTGGGATGTAGCCTGTATGATGTCTCAAGGAGCATTATTCATAAGGATAGAGAAGAAGAAATAATCAGCCTTTGCTCTTTGATTTAATGTATCCCCCACTATACCACAAATACATTAAACTGTCTTAGACCATCTAAAATGTCAATGCCATTATTCTTGGTCTTTATCTCTATCACTAAATATGTTTTCATTAATTTGGCATTGAAATACAATGAATACATGCCACATCATTTAATTCAATGATTTAAACAAAATCACATTCCTTAGTTGGGGGTTAACTTACCCGTTATCTACAAATCCACACAAAAGACATGTCCATTGCCCTTTGAAAAGAGTAAGGACTGTGGATATTAAAGGTCCAATGCAGCCATTTTCTTCTCAATATGATTGTTTTCAAATAAAATTGTCAAAAATAAACAAAAACAGCTTCTTAGCAAAGAGCAATTTCTCAAGCAATAATTTAGCAATGACTGTCTGGAAATGGTCTTTGCTGAAACTGAAAACTAGCTGTTATTGGCAGAGAGGTTTGGAAATGTCTTTCTTATGGACTATTAACTCATTTACCGTCTTGTGATAGACAGAAAATTCAGGCAGTCTTTTCAAACAGCTCTTACACTTAAAGGGCACTATCATCAAGTTCACAATTTCACAGTATTATTCCAACCTCATAGTGTGGAAATACACAGTATATCAAACACAGGAAAATCACATTTTGGACTGCACTGGGCCTTTCAGTTTCATATTTTGTCCATGGACTCTGATCACATGAGCATTTGTTGTTTGGTCCAGTGTAGGAAGCACTGGAGGTCACGAGAGTGAACTCTGCTTCCCCAATGGTGACCCAGATTGTCTATTAGTGGGACAAGTTCCCGAAATGGTGAAAATCAATGCCATTGTAGCCCCCCACATGAAAAAATAATATGGTATAAATACTATAGTATTCACTGTAGTGTTTACTGTAGTATTTACTGTAGTACACTGTAGTATACTCTAGTATTTACAGTTACCTAAAGTATAAATACCATCATGAATTATGTTCAATTTTTGTTCTTTTCTAAATTAATTGGGTTTTCAAGCTTTTGGGGGGATTTTATACTACTGAATCTCGCGGGTAAATGCGGCCAGGATATGGCAATGTTTCAAAAAGTCCTAGCTTGTGCATCACTATCACTAGCTATCCCTAGCTCACAGGGAAAAATGGCTAGGTAGCTAACTTGATTCTTCTTACATGTAATGCTAAAGTTAAAAAGCATTGGATTGGTGTAAACATCGGCGAGATAGAGTTTCCTTCTACCATATTCTTTGCACCAGTCTCTGTGATATTCCTTTTAAATCCAAGTCACATGGAGATTGACTTTATAATTTAAACCTAACCTTAGCTCTCGAGAGCCCAAGGCCACCATGGGTTCTCATTTGAACAATTGACCACAGCGGGGCCAATGTGTACAACTGTCCTGACACACTTTGTCTAACCGTTAATAATCACCTCGTGCAATACGGTTTTGGACTTTCAAATCACACCAAAATTATTTTGTAAATACAAAATATGCACTTATTGTGCACTGTTTTAACACAGATTCCCATGGAGGTGTTTTGCGTTGCGAACCAAAATAACCTGTCAGCTTGAAGCTGTGTTGCACAAAGAAACTCAGTAGAAATCTGTGATAAATCTGAGATTTACATGGTTATCAAAACGTCACGCCAGGGAAAGCCTACACGAAACACAGCCCTTATTTGAAGTGTTTCTAAAATCCCCTATGGGAAAAATGAATGGTGGAAAAATGATTGGAACCATTTCCCTGTTTGACCGCTAGGTTTTATGGGTATTATGACACCTCCACTGTGGGGCTCTATGTAGCATTGGAGTCATGAGAAGGGCTAACCTAACCTATGTACAGTATTACTGCCCCCCAGTTGCAAGAAGTGACATCACTGGCTCCTAGCCTCCCTCGCATGCTTTCTGTCCCTAACACTAAAACTGAAACTAAATCATTTAAAAACGAAATATAAATATTTGTATACAACTAAAACAAAAAAACTAGCAAATCAGGTCTGTAAACTAACTGAAACTAAACTGAATTGTAAATATAAATCTAAAAATGAATAGAAATAAAAACGAATATAAAAACAATAACCTTGGTATTTACTGTAGTACTTTTGCAGACTGTACTATACTGTAGTATTTATTGTAGTGCTTTTTCGGACTGTATTATACGGTAGTATTTACTGTAGTGTTTTTGCAGATATTACTGTAGTATTTACTATATTGTATTTGTTTTATTATCTTTGACATTGAAGTGGAAGCTTCCTCCTTGAGGAAATCTACTGGAGAAATACTAAAAGAGCAAATATTAGGGAAGGAGGTCTGAATGGACAGTTCAGAGTTTCTGCTCTTTTCTATAACCTGTAGGAAACACAATACATTATCTTTACTTGGCATGTAGGTTTCTCACATATGAGTGGCATAAATTACGATATGGGGAGAGGAATGGGTATATGCAAATGAAATACTGTAGTATTTTGTGGACAGTAATGTTTTTGTGTTCATTAATGTAGTATTTCCCACAGCGTTTTTTCCCCTTATAACACTGTAGTGTACTGTATATTATAGTATTCTACAACATTCTATAGTTGGTACTGCACATGATCAAAGGATACTACTGTGTGTAGTATAGTATTCTACAGTAGAATACTGTATTATTCTATATTATACAACAGGTGGGTCTAATCCTGTATGCTGATTGGTTAAAACTGCATTCCAGCCAGTGTCTATTCCACAAGTTACCACCAGCTAAATCTATGACGTTAAAATGCCTATTTACTCTGTTCCATCTAACTGTGCAATCCACTGTCTCAACAGCCCAGCCAGGCACTTTATAAACTTGATCTCTGCTATAAAAAGCATCTAGACATTATCTCACATTTCTTTTAGACTAACATTTAGTTTTCAACAGCGGATATTTGTATAAACCTTGCTGTCTGTCTCTCCGACATTTGTAACATTGTTTCAATATTCATTTTTGATCTCCAGCTGTCACATAATAATGAATGTGTAGGATGTCGGGACGAGACAGACAGGCAGGCAGCGTTTCTCAGCCAGTCAAAATCATGAATCAGCTGGCATCATTTTTATGGACATATACAAAGAAATGTCAATTGAAAAAAGGTAAAACTAAACGAAGTGCAGCTAGTTTACAGTCTTTCCAGCTTCCGTTTTAAGTGATTGTGTTAGCTGTGTTGTTGGCTAGCTCCTCTGAACAACAGTATCCTGACGAGTGAGCACATTTTCTATGCCAGACTAAATTCTCGCCTCATTGTTATGGATGTATTGAAATAAATGTCACTAGAAAACAGCTTCAATAAATGCAAATGAGGCTACTTTGCATTTATTCTGGCTGCACCGTAGTTGGCTAGCTAGCAAGCAAGGGATAAGAACATTGCCAGCCAGTATGGCAATGGAACATTTAGAACGAACGACTGGGTCGCGTCCATAGATACAGAACAAAAAGACTGAACGACTGGGTCGCGTCTCTAGCAACCGAACCGATAGAACGAACGACCAGCCGGCTTGGTAGCAACCCTAGATTTGTGTCGGGACTATATCTTGTGGAAGGATGAAATAGTATGAATAAATTCATCAACATAACGTTTTTAATGAAAATATGTCAATCATTATTTGGATATGTTGGTAACCCGTTGTATAAAAGTGATAATGCCCTCGATGCCGGTGTTTGGAGGATATATTGGCACGGTTTGCCGGCCCTCGACTTCGTCTCGGTCCTAACAACACCCGTGCCAATATATCCTCCAAACACCTGTAAGGGTTGGTGTGAAGTGTGACCCAGGTGCAGTGCAGGATAGACAGTAGGCAGAGATGGTGAACAAGGATCTTTACTGGTGGTCCCGAAGCCAGGATACAAAACAACGGACTTAACATGATAAAAGAAAGGTGGAACAAATAAGTCTCCAAAAACAGGCTGACAGCCAAAATACGAAATAGTAACTATGACTGAAATAATAAAGAAACAGGGAGAACGCTTCTCGAGTACCTGTACATACATCTCAGATCAGACACTGATTAGTAATTAAACGTTTTTATTCAAAAATCCACACCATACATCATCATACACATTACACACACCATTAATTCCCAACCCCAACATCATTAAAAATAACATTACAAAACTACCCACCACAATATATATCAAACACCCACAAAACCGAACAATAACAGAAATTACACCCCAGGGGAGCACCTTCCCTCCCCCTTTATACCCAGCTAAAAACACACACACAAATCCTAAATCCCTACTCCTCTACACTAACCCTAACCCTAAACCCCCCTTCCACCTCTCCCGAGCAGCATGCTGCCCCCACTTCCTCTCCTCTCTCTTCATTCTCCCCCTCAAATTCTGCTCACTATCCCCTCCACACCCCCTTCTCTCCCTGTCCTTTCCATTTTCTGCCTAGCTTCCCACAACCCCTGTTTAAAGAGGCTTATGAGAAGCCAGAGCAGAAACCTGTCCCTAACCGTCCCCCTCGCTTTGCCTACACCTCTCTCTACCCTAGCCCATGTCACAACAAAATCCCCCCTCACCCTGCCTATCAACACCTGTACCCTAGCCCATACCACCCCGGCAAAAGCACAGCCCCAAAAAACATGGCGCAATGTCTCCTCCCCGCCACAAGTTGGCCTTGGGCAGGTGGTGGATCGAGTCATGCCACGCCCGTACAAGATGGAACGTACGGGCAAGCCCTTATGGAGGCTCAACCAATTCAGGTCCTTGAGCCTGTAATCCAGACCTTGCACCTGCACTCCTTCCCAAACCACAGCCGGGATACCCAATACTGGCCCAGGACACCCTCCCCATCTCACCTCCTCGTACAGGTGCCTGTGATCTAAACCTACTCGGGCAACTTCAACCTCGGGGTGACCACGCAGCCACTTGGCCGTATAGCCAAAGTGCCACGGCAGCTGTTCCGCCCGAGGACCCGTGTTAGTCCACACCATTACGCTTCTCACCTGGTAAGAGAAGAACACCCGCAGGAAGTAACCAGACGGGTGTATTACCGGATGAGCCAGCTCAAGTCAACAAATAAGAAACAAAAATTTAGTCCAGCTTGAGGGGGAAATGTGGTACCCCCCTACCTCCCTCCCCGATGGGACAGAGCATGCGAAACCTCGCGACACGCTCGAGCCTACCACCCCACATGAACTGAAACACTAGCCTCACTAGAGGCCTCCTCAGACTAGCTGGCAATGGGTAGACGTACGCCATATACAAAAGAGACGGCAAAACATCCACCTTGAGGACCAGGACCTTACCTATAAAGGACAATGACCTAGCCCTCCACATCCCCAGCTTCCTCTGTACCACTGCAATGCTCCTGTTCCAGTTCAGCGTCGCTGAGCCGGAGGTCTCAAACAAGACCCCGAGAATCTTCAGGGCCCCGATCCAGAGAGATAACCCCCCAGGCACATCCGTCCTCCCACGCCATCTTCCGAAAAACTTAACGGAAGACTTAGTGTGATTGAGAACTGCTCCCGATGCTCGGGTTAATTCCCCAATGATGGCAAGGGACCTAGTCAGGCATGAGTCCTTGCATAGTAACAAGGAAGTGTTGTCGGCGTACTGCGTCATCTTAACGTGCAGCCCACCGCTCCCAGGGATAAGCAAGCCCTCCACCCCTGTGTCTGCCCTAATGGCAGCCCCCAGAGGCTCCATGTACAGAACGAAGAGGAGTGCCGAGAGCGGGCACCCTTGACTGACCCCCGACGCGAGGTCAAAAACGTCACCCATGTGACTGTTTACATTAACCCGGCACCCTGCTCCGACATATAAAGCACGGACCCACCCTATATACTTCTCCCCAAAACCTAACCTACCTAACACCCTGAAAATAAAATATATATTCACTCGATCAAAGGCTTTAGCCTGATCAAGTGCTGCTACCATTAACGGCAGCCCTCTATCCTCTACCCAAGCGATGGAGTCCCTAATAAAACTCAGGTTCCACCTAATAGAGCGGCCCTCTATACCACACGTCTAATCCTCATGGATGACGTGGGGAAGGGCTGTGTGCAACCGGTCCGCTAGAACCTTCGCTAGCGCCTTATAATCTACACACAGCATGGTCAACGGCCGCCAGTTGCCAAGGTCTGTTGCGTCCCCCTTCTGACAGCACACCTACGGCCATCGATCCCCCCGGGACCCCCGTCTCGAGGATGGCCTTCAAGACTTCAAGGACTACAGGACTTTAAGTTTCCCCCAAAACTTCAGGTAAAACTCTGCCGGCAGCCCATCCATCCCGGGCACCTTCCCTTTTCCCATCCTCCTGAGGGCGCTCTCAACCTCTTCGAGGGAGATCTGAGCCTCCATCGCTTCTCTTATGTCCTCTGGCACTCGCCGGGACAAGTGTTCTAAAAACACGTTTCCCTGCTCTACATCTACTGCCCTTTCTTGAAAAAAACCTTGGAAATGTTCCGTGGTCACCTTTACCATTTCCTCAGTTTCTCTCACTACTCTACCGTTTTCTTCCCTAACCCCATACATTACCTTCCTACTCTGTCTTCCCCTAACTGATTTAAAGAACACGGCGGAACAAGTCTCGTCGTGTTCTAAAAACCCACTATGCGCATGCTCCAGGAAAGCGCGAGCCTTCCGCTCATGCACCTCCCTAAATTATGCCTTTAGGGCAGAGGATCTCTCCCAGTCTACCGACCCGCCGAGGTTGCCTGCCTCGAGCTCGAGTTCGAGCAGCCTTTCCTCCCTCTTTTTCCTCTTACAATATCCTATTATAAAACCCTAATCCTCACCTTTGCAATTTCCCACCACTCTAACACCCCCTCACACATGGACCCGAGGCCCTCAAGCCCCCTAAAGAAATCAACAAAACCGTTAACGAAAGCCTGCTCATCCAGTACCTCCCGTTCTAACTTCCAGTACCCCCTACCGAAGAGGCAGACTGGTGCACCCACCTGCAGCAGCACCCCGTCGTGATCCGAAAAAAACACAGGCAACAAACGCCCAGACAACTGACCCAGTAACCTGGATAGAAAAATATAGTCGAGCCTCTGCTCGACTCCTCTGGAGTTGCGCCATGTTGGACATGCCATCGTCGGAGCAGTGTGCAGGCCCCCCATCTACCAGACCATGGCACGCCATTAGCCCGGCGATGGCACCTGCACTACTGTCCCTCCCCCTCCCTATATCTATATTAAAATCCCCCCCTATCACCAAGTGTCTATTCGTGGCACACAGCGGCGCCAGGCAGTCCACGATCTCCCTCCTGCCTGCCGCCAACTGTGGCCCGTACACCACAATTACCCTATATCTATCATCCCTTACTGTGACATCCACCCCCAAAACCCTCCCCTGCATACCTACCAAAGTGCCCTCCACCTTCACCTCCCTATTCCCAAACAAAATCCCTACCCCAATGAGTGCACCCCCCCCTATACCCCAAACCGACTCTCCCTTGTCCCACTCCCTCTTAAACCTTATTACATCCCCACTATCTCTTAGGTGAACCTCCTGTATAAAACAAACATCAAAACCCACCCCCCAGATGCCCCCCCACTCCCCTCCAGCTCTCCAACCCAGGATGCAGGAATGGTTTTTGGAATGGTGTTTGGCTCCTGGGTTCCCTGCATCCTGGGCTCACCACCATCCTCCAAAACCCCAATCTCAAAACAGGTTGGGAACAATGCAGGGGATCCTGAGCCCTCCCCCCCTGTGCGTTGGGGGGGGGGCAGCGAGGACACCGGAGATTCTTCCCCCACAGCGCCCTTCTCCCCCATGACACGCTTGGCCCCCCCCTCTCCCCCACTACCCATTTCCCTCTTCCTGTCAGAGGATCTCCCCCTCCTCTTCCCTCTCTTCTTTGGAGATGCCGGCAGTGGGGAGACCCTGCCCCCCTTGATCACCAGCTCCTCCATCATCTCCCTCACCTTATCCCCCTGGGCACTCGACATCTCGCTTTCCCCCCACTCCGCCCCCCCCATTCTCCTCTCCTCCCAGGGCTGTGGCTGGCTCCTCCCCAACCTCCTTCTCCGGCACCTCCTCTCCCACACTCCCCTCCGTCTCCATTTCCGGCACCACCTCTCCGTCCAGAACTGCTACGGCAGTCCCCTGCCCGTCCCCCTCTCCTCCCGCTGCTGTTCTCGGCTCCTCCTCCGTCGTCGATGGTATTGCCTCTGGCCATGCGCTTGGGTCTGGAACTTCTCCTCCTCTTCCTCCTCCATCCCCCGCTCCTGCCCCTGCTCCCCCACCAGCTGAAGCTGCATACGACTTGTGACGAGCCGTACACTCCCTCCACAGGTGTGCTGACGATCCACACCCGTGGCACTTCTTCGACTCGTCACAGTCCCTCGCCTAATGTGTTCCTCAGACCCGCACACCCTGCATTTCTTCGCCCCACATGAGGCGAAATTATGGCCATAGGCCATGCATCATCTGCAGAAAGGGGGCTGACGGGCATAAAACAATGTCCCCCTGTCAGCCCCCAGGGAGAACAGAGCTGGAGGATGAAGGTAACCTCCCAGGCCCTTCCCTCAACAGAGCCTGGAAGCTTCTCCTCCCGTTCCAGAACCCTAGCGAGTCTTTGAGGAGCCTTGCCGAGGAGACATTGTCCATATACCTCCCCATAAAAGCCCTCACCTCCTCATCCTTAACATGCGGGTTATACATGTTTACTGTTATTACCCTGAAGTTGTTCTTGGCCAAGCTTGTCACCTCGTAGTGGCACATCTGCCTGGCCTTCTCCACCTCCCTCGCCTTTTTCATGACCTCGTCCAAGGGGTTCGCCTGGTGGCACATCACATCCTTTACCGCCAGCTTTAACACTCCCATCAACAAAGTCCTCCCAAATGTTTCCCTTCCAAAAGGCTCCATGTCCTTCTCCTTCCACGCAAACCTAACTGCGTTCGTGATCCCAATCCTGGGAATCGCCCTAAAATTTGCATTTTTGCCATCTCCACGAGGAGAATAGCGCCCGCACCACGGCTCTGACTCTTCTCTATATTAGTTACAAACTATTTTAAACTATTTTAATTGATTTAAACCACCGCTAGCTTCCTTCTTAGACAGTCATAGTACTGCTGAGCATCGAGAAACTAGCAGAGAAAACTGAGGAAGGGAACACATGGAAGTGAGGGCATAAATACACAGGTTAACAGGTAGACACAGGTGACACCAATAGGATCATGATTAGTCCAGACTGTGAGTGAGAAGGTGCCTAAGGGTGTTGGAGGAGAACACCTAGTGGATTGATCCGGAACTGCGACCCCCTCCTGTGACAAACACCGGCTTCTCGGGCATTGTCATTTAAGTAAACTGTAGTATTTTTTAATGTGGGCCTCCGTGGGTGTTTACTAATGTCTCCAGCTCTCTGCCTCCATGGGGAGAAACACAATGACTTTTCAACAACAACACATAAGAGGAGGCTGTAGCCACTGCCTGCATCCCAAATGGCACCCTATTCCTTATATAGTGCACTATTTTTGACCAGGGGGCTCTGGTCAAAAGTAGTGCACTATGTAAAGAATAGGGTGCTATTTGGGATTCAGTCAGTGGCTACAGACTCCTTTTCTTATATCAGGCAATGGGCTCGATGAGGTGGTCACAGAGACCTGCTCTGCTGTTCATTCAGTAAAAGTTCCTGTGAATATAATTTAATTGTCCACAGAAAAGACAGATGTGAGTTGGATTTTCAAGACCTTCAACTGCACCACATCTGTCAGAATAGATCCACCATCTGCCTTGCACAATATGACAAACCTGGGAAAAAACTTGAACACACACGCAGGCATGCACATAACTGCAACGCAAACCACACTAGCTTATGTGAAGGGTGCATTTAATATGTACCCTACCTGCCATGAGTCTCTCTTGGACCACACCTGACCCACAAATTAAAACGTCACTTTAAATCTATCCAGCAGACCGCAGATTTGTGGGTGCCAGTTTATATCGCAACTAACCAGGGTTAGTAGATACAGCTAGGCTTCCACTATACTGTAGCCCTGAGGCCTGGAAATTGACAGTCGTCGTGGGTAGCCAGCCATGTCTGCGTCAGGATTTAAAGATCACTCAAAGTTCATCCCTTTTTTATACCCGCCCAGAGTCTATGGGTCTCCACAGAGCTTTACAGATTTACTGTGCGTTTTCCTACAAACTGCAACCACTCTTGTCGATGTCTCACGAGTGCACAACACAAATCCCACAGATGTTTGCCCTCATTTCCATTAGGAAAGTGAATGATGTGATGCCTGGGACAGTTCATTTTGAAAAGCAGCTAAACAAACATACAGTGGGGGAAAAAAGTATTTAGTCAGCCACCAATTGTGCAAGTTCTCCCACTTAAAAAGATGAGAGAGGCCTGTAATTTTCATCATAGGTACACGTCAACTATGACAGACAAAATGAGAAAAAAAATCACATTGTAGGATTTTTAATGAATTTCTTTGCAAATTATGGTGGAAAATAAGTATTTGGTCAATAACAAAAGTTTCGCAATACTTTGTTATATACCCTTTGTTGGCAATGACACAGGTCAAACATTTTCTGTAAGTCTTCACAAGGTTTTCACACACTGTTGCTTCTTACGAAGCCACTCCTTCGTTGCCCGGGCGGTGTGTTTGGGATCATTGTCATGCTGAAAGACCCAGCCACGTTTCATCTTCAATGCCCTTGCTGATGGAAGGAGATTTTCACTCAAAATCTCACGATACATGGCCCCATTCATTCTTTCCTTTACACGGATCAGTCTTCCTGGTCCCTTTGCAGAAAAACAGCCCCAAAGCATGATGTTTCCACCCCCATGCTTCACAGTAGGTATGGTGTTCTTTGGATGCAACTCAGCATTCTTTGTCCTCCAAACACGACGAGTTGAGTTTTTACCAAAATGTTCTATTTTGGTTTCATCTGACCATATGACATTCTCCCAATCCTCTTCTGGATCATCCAAATGCACTCTAGCAAACTTCAGACGGGCCTGGACATGTACTGGCTTAAGCAGGGGGACACGTCTGGGACTGCAGGATTTTAGTCCCTGGCGGCGTAGTGTGTTACTGATGGTAGGCTTTGTTACTTTGGTCCCAGCTCTCTGCAGGTCATTCACTAGGTCCCCCCGTGTGGTTCTGGGATTTTTGCTCACCGTTCTTGTGATCATTTTGACCCCACGGGGTGAGATCTTCAGTGGTCTTGTATGTCTTCCATTTCCTAATAATTGCTCCCACAGTTGATTTCTTCAAACCAAGCTGCTTACCTATTGCAGATTCAGTCTTCCCAGCCTGGTGCAGGTCTACAATTTTGTTTCTGGTGTCCTTTGACAGCTCTTTGGTCTTGGCCATAGTGGAGTTTGGAGTGTGACTGTTTGAGGTTGTGGACAGGTGTCTTTTATACTGATAACAAGTTCAAACAGGTGCCATTAATACAGGTAACAAGTGGAGGACAGAGGAGCCTCTTAAAGAAGAAGTTACAGGTCTGTGAGAGCCAGACATCTTGCTTGTTTGTAGGTGACCAAATACTTATTTTCCACCATAATTTGCAAATAAATTCATTAAAAATCCTACAATGTGTTTTTCTGGGGGTTTTTTTCTCAATTTGTCTGTCATAGTTGACGTGTACCTATGATGAAAATTACAGGCCTCTCTCATCTTTTTAAGTGGGAGAACTTGCACAATTGGTGGCTGACTAAATACTTTTTTTCTCCACTGTAAATAATATCCTTATCCTTATAATTATTGGATTTTCAAAGTTGTGTCTTCAATGATATTTTTTAAAGTGACTAAATAGTGAATAGTGTCATGACTGCATGAATGCACACCATACCACCATGTTTGTGTGGTTAGCATGTCATTTTGCTCCAAAGAACACACCTTTGATTTATTGAGAGCTTGGGGCCATAAGGTTCTATCTGCAAAAAGATGATTCTGAGATAATTTGCTTTAAAATCATCTGTATGGCTCGTGGACTAAATGTAGAGATTGAAATGCTTAGAATAGTTCCTCATCCATAGCAATGCCCTCTGAGACCGCAGGTCCCTTGACATAACTAGAGCTTGGGACTATAATGTTCTATCTGCAGTTTTGTCAAACTTGAGTTGTTGACATAGCCTTTTTCTGTTCAATGTTCTCTACCTATATAGTACTCTAAATATCCCAATTCATGTTGTTAAGTTCAAAATGATACAAGCTAAAAATAGCTGCCACCAAGACGGTTTGAATGGTGTCAGCTATTTTTTGCTTGTATTCTAATGTTGTCTATGTTCCACTATTTAGGACATATTTGCTTCCTCAGTCCAAAGACGCATATCTCAGAGTGATCATGAAATAATTATATTTTTTCATTTCTTCTGGTAAGTTTATGACATCCGTCTAGCATAGGAGTCACCACTGGGATCCTATAAGACTAGAGGAAGATATGTACAGTATATATAAAAATGTAAATATACTGAACAAAAATATTTTAAAAAATGAATAAAAGATCCCAGAAATGTTCCATATGCACAAAAAGCTTATTTATCTCAATTGTTTTTGCACAAATTTGATTACATCCCTGTAAGTGAGCATTTCTCCATTGCCAAGATAATCCAATCACCTGACAGGTGTGGCATATCAAGAAGCTGAATAAACAGCATGATCATTATATAGGTGCAAATTGTAATGGGGACAATAAAAGGCCACTCTAAAATGTGCATTTTTGTCACACAACACAATGCTACAGATGTCTCAAGTTTTGAGGGAGTGTGTAATTGGCATGCTGACTGCACGAATGTCCACCATAGCTGTTGCCAGATAATTTAATGTTCATTTCTCTACCATAAACCGCCTCCAACATACAGTACCAGTCAAAAGTTTGGACACACCTATTCATTCCAGGGTTTTTCCTTAATTTTACTATTTTCTACATTGCAGAATAATAGTGAAGACATCAAAACTATGAAATAACACATATGGAATCATGTAGTAACCAAATAGCCACCCTTTGCCTTGATGACAGCTTTGCACACTCTTGGCATTATCTCAACCAGCTTTGTCAGGTAGTCACCTGGAATGCATTTCAATTAGCAGGAGCACCTTCTTAAAAGTTAATTTGTGCAATTTCTTTCCATCTTAATGTGTTTTTAGCCAATCAGTTGTGATGTGATAAGGTAGGGGTGTATACAGAATATAGACCAAGTCCATGTTATGGTAAGAACAGCTCAAATAAGCGAAGCGAAACGACAGTCCATCGTTACTTTAAGACATGAAGGTCAGTCAATCCGGAACATTTCAAGAACTTTGAAAGGTTCTTCAAGTGCAGTCGCAAAAACCATCAAGCGCTATGATGAAACTGGCTCCCATCAGGACCGCCACAGGAATGGAAGACCCAGAGTTATCTCTGCTGCAGAGGTTAAGTTCATTAGAGTTACCAGCCTCAGAAATTGCAGCCCAAATAAATGCTTCACAGAGTTCAAGTAACAGACACATCTAAACATCAACTGTTCAGAGGGGACTGTGTGAATCAGGCCTTCATGGTCGAATTGCTGCAAAGAAACCACTACTAAAGGATACCAATAAGAAGAAGAGACCTGCTTGGGCCAAGAAACATGAGCAATGGACATTAGACCGGTGGAAATTTGTCCTTTGGTCTGGAGTCCAAATTGGAGATTTTTGGGTCCAACCGTTTTGTCTTTGTGAGACGTGGTGTGGGTGAACGGATTATCTCTGCATGTGTATTTCCCACCGTAAAGCATGGAGGAGGAGGTGTTATTGTGTGGGGTTGCTTTGCTGGTGACACTGTCTGTGATTTATTTAGAATTCAAGGCACACTTAACAAGCATGGCTACCACAGCACTCTGCAGTATT